AAGATGTCACTGAAGTAAAAGTACAAAAGTATTGGCATCAAAACATAGTTAAAGTTCCAAAAGTAAAAGTACTCAATATGCAGATCGACCCATTCAGAATAATATATATGATATGTTTTGATTATAATCATTGATGCATTCATGTGTTTATCACATTTAAATGCTGGATTTATTTGTATTGTGTTGATCATCTCTACACACGGTGGTATTACTATTTTTATTTATGTTAAAGTGCTGAATACGTTGTCCTTAAGTCGTCAAATTTGTAAAAGTAAAAGTACCTGAAAAACGTAATATTCTGAAAAATGTATGTTATACTTTAAAATCATAAATCTTAATCCATTAATGCTCAAAAGTTGCCTCTGATAAATAGGAAGCAAGTTACCTTTATATACTGCAGGGTAGCTTGTACATTTCCCATAGGGGCCAATAAAGCTCTATATAGACCCTTGCAGGGATCCTGCAGCACATGTCTGCTGCCGCTGTAAATGAAGCTCTTCTGCTGTGTGTTTGTCTGAACTTGGCCTAATCGGTAGGTAAACCTGCTGCTTGTCTCATTCTTCCTGAATAATCTTAATCTAGTATTATTATCGTAACATCACCTTAAAGGAGAGGTGTCATGGCCATTTCCACTGATCATAATTCCATTGTTGAGGTATACTAAAATAGATTTAGACTGTGCATTTTTCCAAACTCACATTGGTTTCTCATACAGCATCTCTGTAAACTACTTGTATTCACTGAATTTCACTCTCTGCCTTTAACGGCTCGTTGTAGCTCCCAAAGCTCCAGCCCCCACCCTCCCTGTGAGCACAGTGTGCTCTGATTGGTCGGGACGTTGTGAATCGCGCTGAGCTCCGTGGAGGTGTTGTTTCCTTGTTTAGGATACATATTGAAGTTTTTTTAGTATGAATGCAGGTGATCCAAAAAGTATGCTGTTGCAGTAATCCAGTCGGGATGTTATAAAGGCATGGATGGGTCTGATGCGGGCGATGTTCTTTAAATGGAAGAAAGCGTTTTTTGTGACCTGGTTGACGTGAGGGAGGAAAGTGAGGGTGGGGTCGAGGATGATGCCAAGGTTACGGATGTGATGCCCCTTTCACACCGGCGCTTTTCCAGCTCCAGCTCCTGCTGGGAGCTGGAGCTGGAAAAGCGCCGGTTTTTCCTGTTCACACCGCAGCGGCGGCACGTCATAGCTCCGGAACGCGGTTCACTTCCAGCTCCAAAAAATTGTCGGTCCAGAGGCAAGAGCTTCGGAGCTATGACGCGGCGTCGCTTACGTCTCTTACGTCGAGGCGTGCAGGAAACCTTACTTTGACCATCCGTTCGCTGTTATTGATCATTGTGGAGATACATGGGCTGCACAGGTTGTCATGTCCGACTATCACAAGTAGAATCATAATGAAAAATACGCCGGTAAAATGTGCCTGTAGAAAACGGCTTAGCAAGTAGTCAGTTTAGCTTCAGTTGCTATGCTAACATCACCCATGTTATACCAGAGAAACTTTCATAACAGCGTTGTGATGCCAAACAGCGTCAATTCAGACTGACACACATTCACTTAAGGGGAACTGGGGATATGTATCAGCTGCTTGTGTGACAGTCAGACAGTGAATACTTTAGAGCCGTGTGAGCTAACCCGGAGCTAACGGGAGAATAAACTCCCGTGGAAGAGCAGCCAGCACTGCAGCGGTCGGTAAATGCCGCTGAAACACATTAATAAACAATGAACCACGGCACTCTGGAGAAAAGTATAAGGTTGGAGAAGTCGTTATTTAATTTAATCTGGCTTCGTATGATTAAAAGCAACACGATCATCGACCCGACGCAGTCCCCGGCCCGTTGTTGTTGTGGGAGAAAGTCAGCGACGTAAACTGTGACGTCATGACGCAGCAGCGGCAGCTCTGGGCAGTCTGAACAGAGCGGGAGCTGAAAAGGGAAACCGGAGCTGAACCAGAAAAGCTCTCGCTAGGAGCTAGAAAAGGAAAAGCTCTGGTGTGAAAGACGCATGAGTGGAGGGGTTGACAATGGAGCCATCGATGGTAAGATAAAAATCTTGGGTTGAGCGGGTAAGTGAGTTTGGGCCAATGATTATAAGTTCCGATTTGTCACAGTTAAGTTTTAGAAAATTGTTTTGGATCCAAATTTTAATGTCAGTGAGGCAGGTGCTGAGCTGGGAGTGTGTGGTTGGAGAAATTGATTTTGTTGAGAGGTAGAGCTGTGTGTCATCAGCATAACAGTGGAACTGGAGTTGGTGTTGACGGAGGATTTGTCCAATTGGGAGGATGTAGATGATGAACAGAAGGGGACCAAGTACAGAACCCTGAGGGACGCCATGATTGACGGGGGCTGTGATAGGATAGGATTTAAACCAGGAGAGGGCAGTACCGGTAATGCCAATGGAAGACTGGAGGCGGTTGATGAGGATGGAATGGCTGATCGTGTCAAATGCGGCTGTTAGGTCAAGGAGAATGAGAATTGAGCGGGAACCAGAGTCAGCAGAGAGGAGAATGTCGTTGGTCACCTTGAGTAGGGCAGATTCTGTGCTGTGGCGAGTACAGAAACCAGATTGAAAAGGTTCATGAAGGTTATTGCAGTCCAGATGGGATTTTAGTTGGGAGGCAACAGTTTGCTCCAGAATTGTTGACAGGAATGGGAGGTTAGAGATGGGCCGGTAGTTATTGAGAGAATCAGGGTTGAGACCAGGTTTTTTGAGTATGGGAGTGACAGCAGCTAGTTTCAGAGCAAGGGGGACAAGTCCAGTGGACAGAGAGGAGTTAATAGGCGCGTTCACACCAAGTACTTTTCCCACAGTAGTTCCTGAGAACTTTAGTTCATGAGAGTTCTTTTAGTTCTGACGAACTAAAGCAGATCGCGTTCACACCAAAATGAGTTCCTGGGGGTGGATTAGGCAAATGAGCCGCTGACGTCACTTCTTCTTCTTCTGCTCAGGTTTTCCTGGCAGGCTGCAAACAACTTCACAGCGAGTACAGTAGGTGGCGGTATGCACCTTAAAGTTGCAATCCGCCAAAAAAACCGAGAGAAGAAGAAAAAAAACTTCCGCTTCCGCTGGATTGCTTTCTGTTTACCTTCCGACCCTCAGACACGGTATGGAGTTGACGTTTTGAGGTCGTGTTATACAGCTTCGTAACGGAGTTATTTAAGCCCCAAATAACTCACAGCCAAATACAAATACAGATCGACCATATCAAATGCAATAGAAATGCTGAGTCGGAGGCGAAGGCGGTTAAGAAGCCTTAACCTGTTACGCACCTTCCGCCCGGTACAGGGCGGATAAACGCGTCATTTGCAGGAAACAACGTCTAAGGAATCTTAATATTGAATAAAACTATGAATGTTTTATATCCATGTAATGGGAAGAAACTCAGCTAACTGATCTTTTTAATTTTTTTTTTCAAAAAAACCCCACATAGCTAGCACTCAGCCTCTGAATTAGCCACGAGCGAAAACATGGAACGTAATGCGGCACTTAAACTCACTCTAACTCCCTTATTACTTATCCTAGATGAACAACCAAACACTCTTTTTTGGTGTCCTGGAGACACTGAATCTAACGGTGCCCTCCTCAACACTCAGTGATAAACATTCTTGATACAGGGTACTTATTATATGTTGTACTTTGGATTCCTAAAGCTTTTAGTCTACTAACCCATCATCCAAGGGTAGTTTTCACTATCTGTAAAAAATAATTTTTGGACGGACACTATAATTTACAGTTTTTTACTATGTAAAATCTGAATTTTCTTTAAAATAAAAAACAGGCTCAGAGTGGAACAGGTTAACCTGTTCCACTCTGAGCCTGTTTTTCAGGTCTCAGGCTCGAAAATGACATTCCCAGAACAAATGACCATATCTTCCCTTCTAAAAGGGTTAAATTAATAATCTTTGTTCTCAAAGTAATGATAAAACCTGTGAGTTGGATGTAGAAGTGTCAGAATCAATATAAATGTTTTTTATTTTAAAGAAAATTCAGATTTTACATAGTAAAAAAACTGTAATTATAGTGTCCGTCCAAAAATTATTTTTTACAGATAGTGAAAACTACCCTTGGATGATGGGTTAGTAGACTAAAAGCTTTAGAAATCCAAAGTACAACATATAATAAGTACCCTGTATCAAGATTGATGCAAAACAAGTAAAATTTGACCTTTTTAGAGAGATTTAGCCAAAAACCCCCACTTCTGGGGTCATTTGGGTGGATTTGACCTATCTCTGGCCCCCCTTACTCGATTGGGATCGTTGACACACCTTTCTGACCATTAGAGCCAATAGAATCGAAGGGGGAGGCCCACACACACACTTGTTGTAAAGAGAAAAGGTGGGGGCTTCGCGTTTGAAAATATAGGTTAGAGTGGAGCTACATTCTAGCTCTGGCATTTGGAAACTAAAACGCAGTTTTATTGCTTATGGATTATCAGAAATAATTTCAAAGAAGGCACAGATACATAGGATGAACCTATGGATTAACTGCAGCATCGTTTTATTGTTTTAATGCCATTGAAGACCAGTTTTGACCAAGGTAAGCCATGTTAGCGTTTCTAGCTACTTAGCTCCACATGTTATGATGTACGCTTTCGTTTATAGCGTCGCAAATGTTTATCACTGAGTGTTGAAGAGGGCACCGTTAGATTCAGTGTCTCCAGGACACCAAAAACGAGTGGTTGGTTGTGCATCTAGGATAAGTAATAAGGGAGTTAGAGTGAGTTTAGGTGCCGCTTTACGTTACATGTTTTCGCTCGTGGCTAATTCAGAGGCTGAGTGCTAGCATTGTGGGGTTTTTTTTTAAAAAAAAATTAAAAAGATCAGTTAGCTGAGTTTCTTCCCGTTACATGGATATAACACATTCATAGTTTTATTCAATATTAAGATTCCTTAGACGTTGTGTCCTGCAAATGACGCGTTTATTCCGCCCGGTACCGGGCGGAAGGTGCGTAACAGGTTAACAAAAGGATTAGACGACGAAATCACACGCGATGGACATGTTTCGCCGTTGTACAGCCGAGGATGATGGCAGTTATCACGCCCAAAAGAACAGCAATGGGTACGTTCATTAAATCACATTAATACTATCTAATGTAGGATTTATGGAGTTATGTAGGGCTAATTTGTGTCTTTGTATGTGTTCCAGATATGCGAATACTACGGAACTCTGGGTGAACAACAGAACATCGGCCTGGTGGGAGGTGCTGCCAACGTGTGCAGTGGATCGAAGATTTCCGAATGTCCAAGGGCTCTTTTCAACTCCTCTGTATTCGCCTGGAAGCAACGTTGTGGAGAGGCATCTGAACAGCATGGAAATTGTAAATTGACAATAAAGCTGTATATTTTGTACAGTGCATTTGGTTCTCTCTTTTATTTACCAGTCAACAGACACAATTACAATAGTGCAGACACCTTAGTGCAAAGATTAAATGTCAGTATCAAAACAGTACTCATACTGTATATTTGTATATTAATGAGTATATTATGTTAAATGTGTGTTAACCTGTTTCACACCTTCCCCCCGGTACCGGGCGGATAAACGCGTCATTTGCAGGAAACAACGTCTAAGGAATCTTAATATTGAATAAAACTATGAATGTGTTATATCCATGTAACGGGAAGAAACTCAGCTAACGATCTTTTTAATTTTTTTTTTCAAAAAAAACCCCACAATGCTAGCACTCAGCCTCTGAATTAGCCTCGATCGAAAAAACGGGACCTACAAAGGCACTTAAACTCACTCATAACTCCCTTATTACTTATCCTAGATGCACAGCCAACCACTCGTTTTTGGTGTCCTGGAGACACTGAATCTACCGGTGCCCACCTCAACACTCAGTGATAAACATTCGCGACGCTATCAACGAAAGCGTACATCATCACATGTGGAGCTAAGAAGCTAAACACGTAAATATGGCTTACCTTGGTCAAAAGTGGTCTTCAATGGCATTAAAACGATAAAAAACGATGCTGCAGTTAATCCATAGGTTCATCCTATGTGTCTGTGCCTTCTTTGAAATTATTTCTGATAATCCATAAGCAATACAACTGCGTTTTAGTTTCCAAACTCCAGAAGGAGACATTCCTCCAGTTTGGTTTCGTTTTCCACACGCGAAGCGCCCACATTTTTTCTTTACAGCTTGTGTGGGTGTTGTCCTCCCCCTTCGATTATATTGGCTCTAACGGTCACAAGGGTATGTCAACCAACCAAATCGAGCAAGGGGGGCCAGAGATAGGTCAAATCCACCCAAATGACCCCAGATGGCCCAGTTTTTGGCTAAATCTCTCTAAAAAGGTCAAATTTCACTTGTTTTGCATCAATCTTGATACAGGGTACTTATTATATGTTGTACTTTGGATTCCTAAAGCTTTTAGTCTACTAACCCATCATCCAAGGGTAGTTTTCACTATCTGTAAAAAATAATTTTTGGACGGACACTATAATTTACAGTTTTTTACTATGTAAAATCTGAATTTTCTTTAAAATAAAAAACATTTATATTGATTCTGACATTTCTACATCCAACTCACAGGTTTATCATTACTTTGAGAAAAAAGATTATTAATTTAACCCTTTTAGAAGGGAAGATATGGTCATTTGTTCTGGGAATGTCATTTTCGAGCCTGAGACCTGAAAAACAGGCTCAGAGTGGAACAGGTTAAAGACAATGGGATGAGGTTGAAAGCTCTTTAAAAACGTTTGTATACATACATGTTAACATACATGTTAAGCATGCACACCTGAAGAACTACGTTACACACAGGTTAGTCTGTGTACCGCTGCACTGCTGCTGGTTTAAACAAAGACAGTCATGATGCTAGTGCCGTGCATGTAGGTTCTCTTTTATTTATCAGCAGCAGATCAATAAGTGTCAGTAGTATCAAAACAATATAATAACTGGCAATATATATATATATATATATATATATATATAATAACAATAGGTAGGCTCAGCAGCAGACACACCTTTGTGCAAAGTTAGGTGTCAGTATTAATAACAGTGGCATATATATATAATCACAATAATACAAAATTAACTGTCACAGGTGTAGGTAATTTGGGGTGAAGTGTCTTGCCCAGGGACACAACGACATCCTGACTGCAGTGGGGTTTGAACCTGTGCTCCCCTGATCCGAACACCAACGCACCAGACCACTGCACCACACGCCTCCCAACAAGTCATTGTACAGTTTATCAACGACAAGTTTTTCTTAATTTTTGTATTGAAGGCCTGTTGGATTTAATCAGCAGCCGTTCGTCGTGCATCTCCTTGGCACGCAGGTCCTCATTCTCCTTGCTGACCATGGCACGGCGGGCCATCGCCATGATGGTG